GCGCCACACCGCCTCCCACAATGGTTGCACCATCTTACATTCCCACCAACAGTGAATAAGAGTTCCAGTTTCTCCACATCCTCGCCAGCATTGCTATATTGTTGCTTGCTGTTCTGCTATATTTTGCTATTCTTACTGGGGTGAGATATCTCATAGTTGTTTTGATGATGTGCTCATCTTTATGGAAGGTGACTGCTATACTTTTCTAGTGCAGCTGGTTGGTTTGAACTGACAACCTTAGTTAACAGCCAAGTAGGTTAATTGTTGCACTACCAAGGCTCCTAAAAGAATAGTATACAGAAATATTGAAGACAGGTCTCCCTTCTTATATTTGCTCTGTATAATCAACTGTGAATTTTCAAAACTAGAATATACCAAAAGAATATTAGCATGTATTTTCTCAAATTCTGAGTTGGTACCTGTTAAAGTAGGACTTCTTTGTTGCCTTATAAAAATTTATAGTACAGCAGTGTTAACTTCTTTTCCCATGATAATGCTGAGAAACATTCTAATAGGGCTTATTAACACTGATACCATATTCACAGAAAAGCTATTGTTTTTCTGTAGTCTACATAGAATAAACATTTTAACTAACCCATTTCTACCCTAATAGTTGATAGGCAATCACTTCAACAAGGTTGGGTGCTTTGTTCCTCCCCATGTTTTCCACTGTAAAAAGCTCATCTTAGTTAAGACCTAAAAGATAGTTTGAAGTTTAAGAGAAAAACCAGAACTAAATGACTTGGCATGACTATTCTGCCTACTTCCTTCCTCACAGAATTTCTGAGCTGTCATTTCTCATAGTTCTGTGCTGCTCCTTTCTGCCAGGAATGCTCTGCAGCCCCTCTCCATCCCAGTTACCTGTCCAAATCTGACTCAGATGTCACTCTCTTCTAGTCATCCAATTCCCTCCCCAGAAGATTAATTGCTCTTTGAATATTCTTATGACTTTCTTTGCACATAACACTGTTTTAACTAATTTCTAATGTACATTTTACATGAGAGCATTATTTTTTTTCAGGTTATTGCTTATGGCAGAAATGTTTCTATTTTTACCCTTTATGCTAGGAGTGACTTCTGGTACATGGTACAAGTTCAGCTTTTCTCCTTGAATGGATTTAATAAATTATAAATGTAGAAAATTTATGTTTAACAATAGACAGGTAATTTCTTAAAACTTCATTGCAGTAAGAAAGCAGGTATCAACCTACTGATGAAGTACAGTTACTATTGAATGACAACATAACTAACTACACTAGCTAGCTGGACCTTATCTGTTCAGTTTCTAGCTTCTCCTAGCTCTGCAAAAATAAGATTTCTACATGCACATCTACATTTATTGCTGCTCTAATAGCAAAGTGTTGGAAACAACCCAAGTGCCGATCAACAAATGGATAGACAAACTGTGGTACAGTCACACAATGGAGTACTAGGCAGCACTGAAAAACAAGGAACTCATGAAATGATAAAAAATGTGACTTTGGAGGACATTATGTTGAAAGTATCTCAGTCACAAAAGTACAAATACTGCACAATGCCACGGCTATAAAACAGGACTGACATCAGGTTTGGGGGGAAACTAAGAAAAAAGGGGGAAAATAATGTACACTGCATTGAAACAGATGAGGAAGAAAACGGTATAAAAGGGATATAATAGGTATTATTTGCATGGCAAGAGTCCAGAATAAGAGCTGTATAAGTACAGTGGATGGGGGGGTGGAGTGGGTTGCACATCAATGAAATAATTTTTTCTTCTTATCAAAGAGAAAAGTCAACTGGTAGGGAGGATTGGACAGTGGGGAAAATGTGCAACAGTGAATGAATGGAAATCCAAAAGAACCCCACAATGTCTGCTAAAGAAAAAAAAGTCAAGTTGCTCTTTGGGAAAAAAAGAGAAAAATGGTGGTTAAAATTACACACAAAAAGAAAAAGGTAGATAAAAAAATTTTAAAATACCTTAAAAACTACATATCATATGAGAATCTAGTGGAGTAGATTATTTTATGTTAAATAACCTAAATGTAGAAAATTGTTAAATACATGCCATAAAATAAAAAAATACATCTCAGTGCAAGTCTTGGAAGCAGATTTGTTGTATGCAGTCAATTCAGAATGACCCTGTAGAACTGTGAACTACCCTTTCAGGTTTCCTAAGTTCTTTACAGGAATAGATTGCAGTCTTTTAGTGGCTAGTGGGTTCAAATCACTAACCTTTTAGCATCCAGCTGTTTAATCATGGTGCTAGTAAAAATCTGTTTACACACACACACACAACAAAAAAAAAAAAAGGAAGACAAGCTCTAGTGGTATAATTTGTAGTGTGTTGTGTTGCTAACCAAAATGCCATTAGTCTCTCCTTAACAGAAAGATAGGCAGTGTCTTCCCCTTAAAATTGACAGCCTTTGAAATGCAATAGAAAGTCTCCATGAATCAGAATCAACTTAATGCCAGCAAGTTCAAGGCCATTAGAGATAGAATGCTGCTTTCGAAGAAAGGGTACAGAGGATGGGAGAACAGTATGTTACAAGATGATGGAATGGGTCAGACTTAAGATTTTTATTGATATTCTTTCCTGTTTAAGGAATAAGATCTAACCACTTGACTATTCCTATGGAGTTTGGCAATGATCCATCACAGATATTCTTTGTCCAAGAAACTTGGTGACTATTCTTAGTCAAAAGGAAAATGCCTGAATCTTAACTGTACCTTGTCTTGGAATTAGGGTGCAGAACAGATAATCATTATTTGATGCCACTTCCTCATTTCTCCATGGCATATAATAATCAGGCCTCTTTTCCTTGAAGCACCTAGTGTAAGCATACGTTTAGTCAGCAAAGATTGGATGAGTTAAGAAAGACCCTCTTGAGCCTCATTCAGAAACTATCTAGAACAAGTATATGAATTAATTCCTGTCCCATAAAGAGAGATTTCCAGAGACTAAGGAAATGAAAGAACAATATGCTCCAAACGAGGAAAACAAGGACTCTACGTGAAATTTTATGGACATTAAGGTTTCTATAAGAAATGTAACCACAGGTCCAGCACTTAGCCTGTTGAGATGGAGTCATATGAGGACCATGCCATGGTTGGTGGTAATGGAAGCCTGGGTCCCTAAGTAATGAGGTGGGAAAAACCCATTAGCCTTAGACTGTCCCTAGACTTCTGTGAACAAGAGAACTAAACTTCTAATTGATTTAAGCCACTGTTAATTTGGCTCAACAATCTTGTTTTCCAGAACTCCAAGAGTGCGTCTGATTCTGGCCATAGTCTTTCTGGTCACTTGTTAGGCATCTTGAGAGCTTGACAGTGGATAAGGATGACAAAAGAATTGATGCCTTTGAGCTCTTATGTTGAAGAGCACTGAACATCCAGTGGACAATCAAAGAACAGACATATAATTCTTGGAAAGAGTGCGGCTGGAGTACTCTTTGGAGGCTTTTCCTTACACTTTGGGCTTTCCTTGGAGAAGACATGATGCTATGTTGTCAATCAAGGACAAAGGAAAAGATGGGAACAGCAAGAATGGGGGGAGAAGAGAGTGAAGGCATGGAGTGAACAGCTCGAAGAGAGCAGCCCATATCCCAGAGTCTCTCTAACCTTTATTGAGAACTGACAGGAAGTAAATCACAGAGAAAATTCATTACTAATGAAGCTAGGTTTTTCTCTGCTGACAACCTTATGCTTATTTCAGGAATGATTGTTTTACACAGACTGAGATTTAGCGGAAGCACCTTCAGATTGGCCTGGGTGCTTTGTGTTTGTGACTTGTCTCAGGAGATATAGCACCTAATTCTTGTGATCTGACACAAGAAGAATCCCAGCTTGTATTTGTGCCTCCTTCAAATGCTATTTAAGCATTTGGTTTAACATTTGGCTTCCCACAATGCTAGGAAGGGTGAAGGTTGGTGAATGAGAAGACGACCTTCAACCATGTGAACTGAAGTGGAGACTGCTCCAATGGGCTCTTGTGTGTGAGGAAATGTGAGGATGGCACAGGATAGAACAGGTTTCAGATCTTTTGTTCATAGGGTTGCTATGAGTCATACTCGACTTGATGGCACTTAACAAGGTATTCTTCAAAAACACCAAAAACTCCATGAACATTGAGATACAATGAATTAAGAGTCTACTGACAAAACAAAGCTGACTTCCTATTAAAAGTTGTAAGGTATTCTTGAGGAATACCAATCTATAAAGGATGGTAAAAGTCACTTTTAAAGATATTTATTTTAAATGTTTCATTTTAACATAAAGATAAATAGCAATGATAATTCATAGAATCTGTAATAAATTTATTACTTAATACTAGATGGAAGATTTTGTTTTAAGATTTTATTCTCTACATATGAGAACAGATTGGAGAAGTATTTTCTGGGTATCATATTATCATATAACAAAAAAGCCAGCTTCAAGGATTATTATATACCTTTAATTTGGTAGTGCTTAAAATATTTTCAAATACTTCATAAATTAGCAACATCTACCTTTTTTTATCCGCCAGAATTCCCTACTGTTTTTTTTTTGTTCTTAATACTTGTTACTGAATTGCTTTCTTATAACATTGCTTAATTTTTCAAAATCAAATTGTATACCTAATTTTTTCAGATTAAAGATTTTAGTCTTTTAATAATGCGTTTTAAAGTTCATTTTAAAATACATGTTTCTCCATTTTAAAAAAAATGGTGTATAATCTATTATAGTGCCTCAAAAGAAATTCAAACCACTATCTTTGAAAAGGGGACTGGGAAAAGACATCTTAATTTCAAGGGTTTAGCATAATATAAAGAACGAAGGCTACATTTTAGATTTTATAAATACATAAACACAAAACAAAAATATAAACAAAACATAAATATAAACCAAACCCAACATTATTTGTTAGCTGTTATCAGTGGTGAAAACTTTATATAAACTATAAAAGTCTGCTTTTGAAGAGTTGACTTGCAGGTCTATGTTGACTTCATTTATAGAAGATTCTATAGTCAAATTATCATTCATGTTTATGCCCCTACATGGGACATGGTAGGCGAATATTTGTAGGAATACAATTTATTGTCTGCTCCTCCACTCAGAAGTAACTGCAGAAGAGGGGAGAAAAAGGAAATTTCATTACTTCATGTGATAGCTAAAATAACAAAATACTGCTGATTTTGATTAAAACTTCTTTAACTACAGCTACATAATCCAGACTTATTTAAAGAGTTTTCTAAATGATAAATATTTTGATCCAATTAGTCTAAATTATTGAGTTTATGAATTTAAAATATTCTGTTGAAATACTATGAAACAAAAATACTATGGAAAAAACAAATGGCTTCAAAATTCCAAATTAAAAAAATTTTTTAAATTTCTTTTACTATTAATGGATAGATGTGTTTCTTCTTCAGTAAGATGTATGATTATAAGAAATCTATAGAATTACAAATACCAGATATATTGAAATGTTACCTTTAAACACAAACACCAGATTTATTCCAATACTGTATTTGCTTGTTTACCAAATAATAAATTCTTACCCCTGTGTCTGTCCAGTCTACACTCAGAACTTTGTCTTCATGAGCGGCCAGATCATAGAGAGGAGCTTTACAACTAAAAGATGAAAATAGTAACATATGCGCATTACAGTCTTAAAAAAAATTAAACATATATTAATAATAATTTGTATTTTGCTGAAAATTGGTACAATTTATAAACTCTGTCCCAAGGACCATTTAATCTTTAAGTATTTATGTACTTGAACACATCTCCTGTTTATCTTGTATCATTTGCCGAGTACAGAGACATGATGTAACATATTAAAGAAAAATGTTAACCGACATATAAGATTAAGCCTATGGTAGAAGTCACTTTTAAAGATATTTTAAAATAGACTTAAAATTATGCCTATTTTCACACTCCCTTGATTGCCTTTCTTTTATCCCCAAAGCATGACTTTCCATCTATATACTAGTAACTCCTAATTTTTTTCTTCAGTCCAAACATTCCCCTTGAGATTGATGACATATATCGAGCTTAAAAACCACCGAACAAAACTCTTGATTTTCCCCCTCCCAAACCAATTTTCTCTTTTCTATCACTGTAAATGATACCATCAACCACCCAGAAAGAAAATGGGTTATTATCCTTGATTCTTATCTATTTAATCTACAAGGTAGTCTTGCCACAGAGCTATCTTCAAATTTTACCTAACATATTTAATGCTACTACCACATCCTAAGCCTGTCTGCTTCCATTTCTGTTCTCTGCACTAAATGCCACTCAGCCTTTTTGTGAAAACTAAGACTTAAACCCAGATTCCTTACTAAGCCATATAAGGTTCTATCCAATACAAACCCCCTGCCTATCTTGCCACTTTCCTTCTTGATTGCTCAACTCCACCAATACTGGATGCCTCATTTTTGCCCGTGTGTCAAGATTTTTTCCTACTTGTCTACTTCCTCTATCAAAATCTTTGCATTACTCAACATCTTCACATTGATGTCATTTCACTACTGAAATACCATTTACCTAATGCTGAAAAAAAAAAAAAAATCACACCTGTCCCAGAGTCTTATTACTCAAAATGCTATGAAAAAGTTTTGACGATTTGAAAGTTTACCTTATCAGGTAGCGTAAGAATGCTAGAAAGCAGATGTTATTTAAAACAACAGGTTAACGCCTCTTCATTCTACTTGTAAGATGTAAACTATGCATCGATTTTATTGGGTACATTCTGAATCCTGGAAGTACTAACTCAGAAGAAAGCCCCATTACCACTGAGTCAATTCTAATTTACAGAAGCCCTCTATCAGGTTTCTGAGGAGGTAAATCTTTACAGGAGGTAAATCTTTGCCTATCTCCCTTTTGAATGTTGATTTATAATCTGATCACTTTCAATTACTTGGTGACCAATGTCTTTGTTTTTTACTTCTAAAATATGTATTGTGTATCACTGAGTCAGAACCAACTCATAGCTGAACCCTCTCTCTACAGGGTTTTCAGAAGCAGTAAATTGTACAACAAAACTGCCCATCATTCTGTGGATTAACTGGTGGATTTGAACCGCCAGCTTTTGGGTTGGCAGGGTAGCTCCTTACCATGAGGCCACTAGAGCTCCCTAAAATGATGATGTACTTACATTAAGGCTCAGGATAAGGGGAGCTCTGGTGGCCTAGTGGCATGAAGCTGTACTGCAATCCCAGAGGTACATGGTTCAAATCCACCAGATGCTCTGCCAGAGAAGGAGGGAAAATTTCCCTCCTGTACCAGTCAGATCTGATTTGACGGTACACACACAATAAATAAATTTAAAAAAAAAGGCTCAGGATAATATCTGTAAAACCTGTTTTTTCCCATTTTATTATACCTAATAACTTCAATGTAAGAAAGATATATTTTACAATTTTTTTATATTTATGAGAACATTTTTAACCTTTTTATCTTAGTTTTAGCATTTCACTTTTTCTGTCTAAAACACGTAAATAGTGTATTTATTTTGTAGATCATGAATTAGATTTACCTTCTTGTATCCCACAGCTTGACAAAGTTATCTAAAGAACCTGAGATCAGTTGCTGTTCATGGGTAGGAGACCATTTCACTGATGTGACCCAGCCTGTATGTGATGTCAGGGACAGCGACACTAAAGAACCATCTGAACAAAACAAAAAGATAATAGTTGAATTTGGAAAAGGAGAAGTATTGGAACAAATCCAGGAAATTTCCCTAGAACATTTTTAAGCACCCTTTTAGCTAGCAAGTAGAGATTTTCATTACTCACATAACCCATTCCCCTTGTAAAAGACTCACCTTTAGTTCGGGGATCCCACAATCTGATATGCCGATCTGTGCTCCCAGATGCTAAACGTTTACAAAGTGGTGAGTAGGAGATGCAATTAAAAACTTTATTTCCAGTCTGAAAAGGAGAAGGAAAACTATGTTAGGCTACAAGTAACCATTTCTAGTTTATAGCTTAAGAAATCATAGAAAAAACTCAAAAACCTCATTTCCTTTGAGGCACAAATGATTAATAGCTGATCCTCCCCTGAGTTATCAGATCACATGGGAGGATAGTGCCCATCTTTTTTATCTTAGAGCAGCTGGTGGATGTGAACCAATACCTTTAGGCTGGAAGCACAATTCCATGCTCACAAAGTTCCCCAGAGAATCAATATGAAAACCAATGAACTTTTAAGCTTACCAAAGTTGACTTGAGACTGCCAGTCTCAATATCCCATATTTTTATGGTGTGGTCCCAAGATGCACTGCAGACTTCTTCAGCATATGACCAGAGAACTGAAGAAATTGCTTCCTTATGGCCAGAGAGGGTCACTATGGGAGTCTAAAAAAGAAAATAGCACAAAAGGAGAAAGTATTTTTACTTCAGACTAATAAAGAGAGAAGAGTATTACTTCTGAAGCTCAGACAGTATAGAGCTTGCCAGTGTTTTAAGAAGAAACAACTAAGCTCTGTTTTCACATTATAGATGAAGTTGAGAAAAAAGAAGTTGCTCAGCCTTATAGTTTTTAAGTCATTAAGATTCAAGATTGAACCTAGTATTACTCCAAAGCTTGTTGTCTTTCCACTGTATTCTTTTGCTTCCTCATCTGCTTGTTAACTACGGATTAGGTACTTTTAATTTTGAGTAGTATTAATACTAGCACGGATTTTATCAGTTGTCTAAATGCTATATGCATTACTCTTGGTTGTTTATAATTCCTTGAAAATTAAAAAAAAAAAAATTGTACTCTGCAATACAAAGAAATACCATAGATAAATGAGCTGATGGGTTATAGTTGGCCAATCTTTAGACCAGATGATCTCTAAGGTCTCACCCCATTCTAAAATTTTCCTGAAAGCTGTAAAGAACCCAGTAGAATGAAGGATTACATAGTCTCTGCTGTGATTTAAAACAAAATAAAAGATGTATACATGTAATGAAATTTCTCTAAAATAAAAAATGGCATGGTATTTGACATCTTCATTGACATGAAATTTCAATGTCAAATTTCATTTTATTGACACTGATTTGAAAACAAAGCAACTTATCATATGAACCAGAAACCTCATTGCTAGGTATTTACCTAGATAAATGAAAACTATACTCAAATGTTTATAGCTTTATTCATACTGGCCAAAAAGTGGCACAGAAGCTTTATTCATAATTGCCAAAAAGTATAAACAACCCAAATATATTTCAACTCTACTAGAGCTATACAATAGAATATTAACCAGCATTTAAAAGGAACGAACACCACTGATAAGACACAGACGATATGAATAAATTTAAAACAATTTATGATGAGAGAAATAAGTCAGATGTAAGACTGTATACCATATGATTCCACTTATGGGACATTCTTGAAAAATTATGGGAGCTAGCAAACAAATGAATGACTGCCAGGGAAGGCAGCTCATGACAGATGGCACAGGAAAGAATGACGGACTGTCTGGTATCTTGATTGTAGCAGTTAGATATGGGGTTGCTATGAGTTGGATAAACTCCATAACAAGGAACAGTATGTATGTATCAGGATCCAGAGCTGTACACCAAAAAAAGTAGGCTCTGAAATATGTCAAGTTTTTAAAAAAGAAAATAAAAATCAACTTAGAAATTATTATCAACATAAACTGAAGAGTATAGTTGTTGTTAGGTGCTGTTGAGTCACCTGACTCTCAGCAACCCTCTGCAAGACAGCTCTGAACCCTGCTCTATCCCGTCCGTGCCAATGTCACTGTCTCTGACACACCTAACACCATTACTGTGTCAGTCTATCTTATCCAGGGACTTCCTCTCCTGTGCTGAACCACTACCCTTCCAAGCATGATGTCCTTCTCTAAGGACTGGTCCTTCCTGGCAACATGCCCAAGTATGTGAAACAGAGCTTCAAAATCCTTGCCTCCAAGAAGCAACCTGGTTTAATCCTCACTAAGATAGACATGTATATTCTCTTGGTGGTCCATGGTATGTTCAATATTCTTTTCCAGCATGACAACTCAAAGGCATCAATTCTACTGTCATCATCCAGCACTGTGATGAAAGCAACTGCAAAAACTATGGCCTGGTACCACCCTATCAGAGGCTTATATAAGCTCATAGGAGTTCAGTGCTGGCTCTCTCTTTTCAGGATACCTGCTTTCATGGGACAGTGGGATACAGTATCCAGCTGCATGCAACTGAAAGACTACAACGCTCATCAGTCTCTGCAACACCGGCCTGCATCACCCAGAGGTGTATGAGTGATTTGGTCTGTGACATAACAGGTCTATCAGGTCTGAGTCTCTGTGAGACCGTCCAGAATTGAATGAGGGAGGAACAGCTGATGTCAGAAATCATGGAGTTATACAGCAAATCAAACATTTGGGATACTGCTGACTTTTCCCTTCTTGTAACTGATCTGCATTAATATTAGCAAAATGAATTATGAATGCAAGTGGTGATGGTTACACAGCACTGTGAATGTAAAAAATGGCACTAAATTGTAATTAACTGCCAAATAATTAAAATGGAAAATTTTGTTATATATGTTTTACTACAAAAAAGAAATAGCACCTTATTATATACTAATATATGATGCAAATCAAAGGCAAATTGTCTTGTACTAAAAGGAAATGCAGAGAGAAGATAAATTATTTTTAATCCTTTTTTGGTCTTAAGAATTAACAGCAAAAATTTCACTGCAATTAGCATGCCAAGACTGGCCAGCATCATGAGATCACATATAACAGCTAAATAAAAAACTTACCAATCTGTAAATGTAGCTAAATTATTGTATATTCAAAGATGATGAAAATGTAGCAAAATAGTGTTTATAACTGAAACACTTTATAACCTGGTAATAAAAAGCCTAATTATGTTTAAAGTGGCAAGGCAAGGCAAAAGAAAATACAGATGGAAGAGATTATATTATAATTTATCATGTATTTATCAACAATGACCTTAGTAAATTCTACTTACCCTTGTTAGTCCCAACTGTTCTATTTTCTGTTTCTTTCTAGGTCGATTTAAGGATTCTTCCATTACATCTTCTTCATCTGTAGGGACTGCATCACAGTGAATTAGATTTAACATTCTATTAGCATGAACGTCACTTCCATCAAGTCACTTCTTATTCATAGCTACCCTCCCTCAATCAGGTTTTGAAAGTTATAAACCTTAACGAAAGGTGACGTCTACATTTTTCTACTTTAAGAAGCCTCTTAATAGATGTTGTTGTTAGGTGTCTCAAACTGAGTACAATTCATAGCAACCCTGTAAGAACAACAGATTTGGCTACTATCCTACCGTGTGCCACCCTGCCCACTCTGACATTCCTGAGCCTGTTGTTGCAATAACTGTGTCAATCTATGTGGTTGAAGGTCTTCCTTTTTCACTGTCTTTCCATCTTTCCAAGCATGATATCTCTCTCCATGGAACAGCCTCTCCTGGCAGCATGATCAAAGAATATGAGACGAAACTTCATCATCTTTGCCTCCAACGGCCACTCTGGCTGGATCTTCTCCAAAACATACCTGTTTAATCTTTGGCAGCCCATGGGATATTCTGTACTCTTGTTCAGTACCACAGCACAAAGGCATTAATGGTTTTTCTGTTATCCTTAGTCACTGTCCAGCTATCACATGCATTGAAAGTGACTGAAAAAACTGACTAATAGCCTGAATCAGGCCCACCTTAGTCTTCAAATTGACATCTTGCTCCTCAGTACTTTGGAGAGTTCCCTGACAGCAGACTTTCCTAATGTATTAATACATCTTTTGATTTCTTTACTTCTGGTACCAAGAGTGTTGACTGTGGATCTAAGTAAGGTGAAAACTGTTGACCATTTCATCTTTTCTCCATCTAAAAGGATGTTGCCTATCGGCCCAGTGGTGAAATCTTTGTCTTCTTGATGTTTTGAATCTCCACTGACATCCATTTTGGTCTTTTCTTTTTTTATCTTTGTATATTTAATTGCAAACTGTCTCAAAAAATTCTTTACATATCTGGGTATAATAGTTCTTCATGTTATCCCATTTAGGAAATTATTTTGGAGAAGAGTAAAGTATACTTAACAGTAACACAACACTTCAATTATCAATCTTCCAAAATTAGAAAGAAAGAAAAAGTTCATTCAAAACTAAAATTCAACCAGTTAGACATCTTTCTTGGTCTTTAAGATTATCATGAATATTTATTATTTTATAATAGTTACACAAAACTATTTACTATTTACAACATTTTATCTCAATAATAAAGGTGGGGTGGCGAGATAAATACATATTAAAAGCAGATATTTCAGTCTTATATATTCTACTTAGCTAATAAAGAATATGTAGTTCTGCTTTTCTTAAGTGTTTTACAAACAGTATTTCCCCCCTTCATTATTACTTGAGAAGGTAGCACATCCAGAATGAACCATGGATTTTGTTTTATAACTTTCCTATTCATCTACTCTCTCACAACAAAATGATAAGCCCATTAAGGATAACAACTAATCATAATAGCCATTATTCCATATACTTAACAATATAAAAATATTTCACAAAAGGAAAATGAAGTCCTGATATATGCTATATAATGTGAACCTTGAAAATATGTTGAGTAAAGTAAATTAGTTATAAAAGGTTAAATGTATGACCCTACGTATATGAAATATCTAGGATAGACAAATGTATAGATTAAAGTTTATTAGACATTAACAGAGAAGGCCAGGAGCCACGGGAAATAGAAACTTGCCACTTACATGACAATGAGCTTCTGTTAACATTGATTGTTAAACACATTAACTGTATAAGTGTGGAATGTTGAAATGGTAAATATTTTGTTACATTTACAACAATAAAAGAATGAAATAAACATCTAGGTCTTTTCCTGTAGCAGAGTTCTACTCAGTCCTATGTAGGAAAGTGTGCTATGAGTCAGAATTAAGCACTGGGCATGTGTTTGGGTCTTGCTTGGCCAATACTAAACAATGCCAATTTGAAATATTTGCTGAAAAAAAAAATAAATCTAGGTCTTCGTATGCAAGAACCTGAGACCAAACTGGTAATAATTTTAACTAATTGTTACATACCTGTAGACCAGATCTTTAGCATTTTATCCCAGGAGCCACTGCAAAACTAAACATATGTAAAGGAAGGGAAAAAAAAAGAATATGTAATATAATTCATCATATTACAAGCTTCACTATTTTCAATCATTAAAACCTTTCCTTTGTTTAACTGTATGAGGCAAGCACTCTGAATTTTTCTGCTATTAAAGCATCATCTGCCCAGTTTACTACTCTCCTAGAAATTGTACACTCAAACTCTGCTAAATAGTTACTTAGATCAGGGTGAACGACTGACCTACACTGTGCCAACAGGTGTCTTACACATTCAGGATTTTTTTTTTTAATTTAGGTTGTTTATTTTTCATTTCAATGAACATCTACAGTGATTTTGGAATTCCATTCATTCATTGTTGCACCCTTCTCCCCGCACAACCCCCCCACCCCCGTTTGCTCCTCTCCTTGAAAAGCAAAAGAAAAACTCCCTCATTGGTACACAATCCCACCCCCTACCCCCAAATATAATCCACTCTGCAACCCTCATTGCATACTCCTACGATAAAAATAATGCCCTAAAATATAATACTTTTAGACTATTCTCTCCCCCATAGACTTCAATGCCGTAAACATATTTTTCTTTTAAAACTATGTCTGAAGAAGGTGTAATTAGTCTTTTCCTAGAAAAAAAATGGCAATGGAAATAATGAAGATTGGGTAATAATAATAGAATCTATAAAGAAAGAACAGCTTTGGTTTGCTTGGCTCCACAGTCAACACTCTTGGCACCAGCAGCCAGGAAATTAAAAGACACATTGCAATGGGAAAGTTGGCTGCTAGGGACCTCTCCAAACTACAGAAGAGCAATGGTGTTACTCTGGAGACTAAGGTGTGCCTGATACTGGCCATACTCTGCAATAGCTTGCTAGAAGTCAGAGAGCTAGACAGTGACTAGGGAGGACAGAAAGAGAACTGATTGATGCCTTTGAGCTGTGGTGTTGGTGAAGAGTATGAAATATATCATGGACTGCTAAGAAAATGAACAGGTTCATCCTAGAGAGGGTTAAACCAGACTGCTCCTTGGAGGCAAGGATTCTGTTTCTAAATTTTATTATTTTCTGTGTTTGTACCATCAAATTGGATCTGATAGGTACAGTAGGAGACTGCCCCTCCTTCTCCAGCAGAGCATCTGGTGGATTCAAACTGCGTACCGCTGGGATTGCAGTGCTGCTTCTTGTCACTAGGCCACCAGAGCTCCCTGGAGGCAAGGATTCTGAAGCTTCGTCTGACATACTTTGGACATGTTGCAAGGTGGGACCTGTTCTTGGAGAAGGATGTCATGCTTGGGAGGGTGGAGAACAAAACAGGAGAGGAAGACCCTCTATGAGGTGGACTGACTCAGTGACTGGAATAATTGGGGTGGGTACGCCAGAGACAGCGAGGTTGGCACAGGATAGAGCAGGGTTTAGGGCTATTGTACATAGGGTCACTATGAGTTGCAGACGACTCGAGAATAAATCCAACTTGGGGAGTTAGCAGAGGAAGAGAATGGGCTAGTCACATTTGAGCCTATATCCTACTGGTCCTGGAAGTCCAACTGCTCATCACTCTCCCAGTGAAGTAGAAAAAATTTAAGACAGACTTCTGTCTCCTATAATCTAAACATCTGCTGGTGTTGAGTTGATTAGACTCATAAAGAACCATGACGTTTCCAAGGGCGTAAATCTTTACAGGAGACTGTCCACCTTTCTCTACAGAGTGGCTGGCAAACTTGCATCTCAGTTGGCAGGACAACGTTTAACATACTACCTCATCAAGACTACTTAAACAGAAAATAGTAACTAATTCACCTACATCTTGATTCAACAAGTAAAATTTTTTTCTAATATGAAAAATCTTTTCTTTTTAATGTATTAAATGTCCTATTACCCTAACTGGTAAAAAAATACTGATGTAACACTCCTAAATGTGGCTTAAGCAGCTTTCTAATTATTGTCAAGTCAGAACCAACTCATAGCCGATTCAGAGGCAAAAATTGCATGGGAGATTGTCCATCATTTTTCTGCAGAAAAGCTGGTGAATTTGAACCACGTATCTTTGGTTTAGCAGTGCAATTCCCTACAATTAAGATACTGGAGCTCCCTTCTAACTGTAATCTCCTGTAAATCAATATATTGTAGCCTACATCTTTCATCATGATGAACAGTACATTAGAACTGCTAGTTTTAAGTCAGCATGTGTATGTGTAAGATGATAAACTAAGCATGTTAAATTTATCAGAACATTTTGTATAGTTGATAGTTTAAAAAGGTATCAATTATTACACATAGTGAAATTGCTTATTTGCCTCATTTCTTTGCATCTCTGTGGTTTATACATGATTCTAGAAATACTCAGGCTAAGAATGAAATCTTTGTATCTGTTTACATGAGGACTTACTATTAGCTTGAAATAACACTTTGTTACTAAAATGTTATTACACAAAGCTAATCACAATGAGTGATATGTAGAAAAAAATTCTTTAGTCACTCACTCATTGCTATTGAGTCAGAATCCACTCATCACTGATCCTTCAGTTAGTTTTCAGAGGCTGCATATTGTGTAAGAGGAGACTGCCCACCTTTCTCCTACAGAGTAGCCGATGAATTAGAATAGCCTGCCTTTGAGATGGCAAGTGCAACTTCTTTCCAGTCAATAGGACACCAGATTTCCCTAAAATTTTTTAGCAGTACATGTTCTAAGTAACAAAGTAATAAAACTCACTAGTTACTTACTTTAGTTCCTGTATTATCAACAGCTATAGAATCCACACTCCCAGCATGACCTCTGCAGCAGTGTAGGGCTTTCATTTTATTTTTTTCTATGTCCCACTCCCATAAGAGAACAGTTTGATCCATAGAGGCGCTCAATAATAAGCAAGACAAATTGTCTAAATAAGAGAACATAGAGTAAGAAACAAATTAGCAAAAATTTCAAATCCATTTTGTTTGGAAACCAAAGTAGTTATTCCCCCTCCCCCTTTAAAGAAAAATATTATAAAAAAGTTGACATTTTAAAAGGAAACTACAAAAATAAGGCAAATGGAGCTCTGGTGGCCTAGTGGCAAAGAAGCTGTGCTGCAATCCCAAAGGCATGCAGTTCAAAGCCACCAGTCACTCCATGGGAAAAAGATGGGCACTCTCCTCCCATGCAATTACCTGCCTTTGAAAACCCACAGGGTCAACTATGGTATATAACATTAAAAAAAAAACACAAAAAACCCCCAACAAAATAAAAGGACGATCCCTCAAACGAAACATAAAAGCTATGAGTGTAACATATTCAATGTTATTTTGAAAATGTATATTACGTAAATTTACGGTTAATTTATATAAATTTCATAAAAAATATGTTTCCTACTAAAATACCACTATACTGAAAAACTTCATAATAAGTAAAGCATAAACCATTTCCCACTCCTCCACGGAAACGGCTTATTTCCAAATCCCTGCTAAAGATTCTTTTTAATTTAGGCAAAAAAAATTCGAACCTTTTTTCACCCAGGCCACATCTTTTACAGCATCTGTATGTCCCACAATTGTCATTACTGACTTTCCTTCCAGGGACCAGATTCGTGAAGTCTTATCATAAGAGCCAGATAAGATCCTATGAGAGGGGGGAAAAATCCATGAAATAAAAGAATTAGTTATTTTAAACCACGAAAATCAACTGTATTTTTAAGTTAATAATAGAAATCAACCTTGAGGATTATACTTTTAAAGAATTATAAAGAAAAAGATTTCAATATACAGTGGATGTGATGCTACCCTTGAATTTTCCTAATAAAAACATACTCATAAACCCTAGACTTCATTGTCACTAGTGCTATAATTAATCTAACTCTCAGGGAAACCATCTATACAAATTTCTTATAGAACCTAACAGTCCTGTGTAGTCAAACTATTACAAAACCAGTAAAACTATTTAAATAAAAAGTAGTAAAAACACAGCTAGGTGCCATCGAGTAGACTAAAACGCATAACAACCCTATGAACAAAATATCTGAATCCTGTTCTATTCTGCACCATCCACACACTTCCTGACACACGAGAGTCCATTGCAGCAGTCCCTCCCCGTGTCGTCAACCCATCTGCTTGAGGGTCTTCCTCTCCTTCAACAACCCTCCACCCTTCCAGCATCATGCCCAAAGTATGTGTGGTGAAGCCTCATCATTTCTGCCTCCAAAGCACAATCTGGCTGCTCCCTCTCCAAGATATAGCTGTTCGTTCTCTTGGCTGTCCACGATGGCTCAGAGGCATTAATTCTTTTTCCATCATCCTCATTCACTGTCCAATTCTCAGAAGCATAGCAAGTAAAAGGAAAGACCATGGCCTGAATCATGCTTTAGTCCTCAAAGTGACATCATTACTCCTCAATAATTTGGAGAGTTCCCCAACTTCAAATTTTCCTAGTGCAATGTGTCTCCTTATTTCCTTCCTGACTGCTGGTACCAAAGGTGTTAATTGTGGATCCAACCAAGATTGTGTCATCTGCATAACACAGGTTATTGATAAGTCTCCTTCTAATTTGGATGCCAAACTCCTCTCATATATTCAGCATACAGATTCAATAGGTTCGGAAAATCATAGCTATACAATAATTCTTGGGAGACACACATGATTCTAGTCACTCCCTTTGGCATTGTTGCTATTGCTATGTGCCACTGAGTCGGAACCAGAGGCTGTAAATCACACGGAAAACAATTATCTTTCTCTTGTGGAGGGGCTAGCAGATTCAAACCACCTGGCTTTGGGTTATCAGCACGTCTCCTTACTGCTAGGCCACCAGCAATCCCTCTTTTGGGCACTGTTGTTTGATGCTTAATATTAAGTCCAACTCATACCAACACTATGAACAAGATCTGAAACCTGCCCTATCCTGTGCAATCCTCACAACGTGACACATTAGAGCTCATTGCTGCAGTCAGTCCACCTCTGACAACACATGAGGCCATTACTGTGTCATTCCACCTGGTTGAGGGTATTCCTCTCTTGTGACTCCCCTCGACGTTCCCAAGTGCGAGGATCCTCTCCACTGAACAGCCTCTCCTAACAAAATGTCCAAAGAAAGTGAGATGAAGTTTTATCATCTTTGCCTCCAAGGAACATTCTGGCTGTACTTTCTCCAAGATACATCTATTTGTTCTTTAAGCAATCTATAGGACATTTGTACTCTTCTCCAGCAGTTTGAAGGCATCAATTCTGTCATCCTTATTTACTGACCAGCTCTCAGCATTGACTGAAAAGACAATGGCCTGAATCAGGCATACCTTAGTTCTCAAACTAACATCTTTGCTCTTCAGTAATTTGGAGAGGCCTCTGACTACAGACTTTCTCTGTGTAATACTCTCCTGATCTGACTGCTGGAATCAAGTGTATTGACTGTGAAGGCATGGTAAGATGAAGTCACTGACAGTTTCAATCTTTTTTCCCATCTATCATGATGTTGCCCGTAGGTCAACTAGCTAGAATTTTTGTTTTCTTGATGTTGAGATGCAGTCAGTATTGAAGGCTATATTGTCGTTGATCTTCTGCAGCAAGCGCTTTAAGTCCTCCTCACTTTCAGCAATCAAGGTTGTCATCAGCATAATAAAGTTTATTGATGAATCTTCCTCCAATCCAGTTGCCATATTCAGCTTCTTAATTTGCTCATCATACATATTGAACAGTTATAGGGAAAGGATACAACCCTGACACACACCTTTCCCAATTTTAAACCATGCAGTGTTCCCTTGCTCTATCTGCATACTAGCCTCCTCATCTAGATTACTGGTTTTGCATAAGCACAACTGAGTGTCCTGGGACTCCCATCTGTCGCAGTGTTAGCCATAACTTTTTATGATCCACACAATTGAATGCCTTTGTATACTATAAAGCACAAATTAATCTGGTTTGGTTTTGTTTTGAGCCAGCATCCATCTACTATGAGCAATGATATCTCTGGTGCCAAGGCCTCTTCTAAATCCAGTCTGAACTTTTGGCAGTTTTCTGTCTACATATTGTTCTAGTCATTTTTAAATGATCTTCAGTAGTCTTTTGTATCCATGTAATATTATTAATATTGTTCAATAATTTCAACATTCTGTTGAAATCACCTTTCTTGGGCAAGTATTTGCTTCTTGGGAAAACAAAGTACTATAATGGAATGTGTAGAGAACTAGAATTGGAGAATAAAAAAGGAAGAACTCTTTCAGCATTTCTCAAGCTAAAAGAATGGAAAAACAAATTCAAGCCTTGGGTTGTAATATTTAGGAATGCTATGGTCATCAAAAGAAGTTGAAAGGAATACACAGAATCAGTGTACCAAAAAGAATTGGCCAGCATTGAAATATATGATAAAGTACCATATGATTAAGAAACAATGATCACCCCAAGACAAATGAGATTAGAGACTGATCAGCTCAGTTCAGAGGAGGTCTAGTGGAACAGCTGTCAGTGGTCTGAACCCACCAGCTGCTCTGGAAGAAAGCTGTTGCAGCATGATTCCTTAAAGACCTGAGCTCTGGAAACCCTATGGGAGAGTTCCATTGTGTGTGTTGTAATCAACTTGACAATAGAGGGTTTGGCTTTAAGCTTTCTGATGTGTCTATAGCCAGTCATTGTATCAGGATTTCTGCCTTGTAAACATGGCTACTTTTATGTTATATGTATTTCTAGAATTTATTTTCCCACTGGATTTAATAAAGTTTGGTGGGTTTTTTGGTTTGTTTGTTTTTTTTTTAAAAAAAAAAAGAACCAATGGTAATGAAAGTAGAAGTTCAAGCTGCACTGAAAGCACTGGCAAAAAATGAGGTCCTAGGAATCAACAGGATACCATTTGACGTGTTTCAAATGACATACGGCCTTGGACTTGCTCACCAGTGTGCTGCTGTTTTTGTGTACTATAGAGTTGTAAACAATCCACCAGCGGGCTTTCAGAAGCATTTAATCACTTAGTAGGAGAATACCCAGCCTTCTCCTGTGGAGCAGCTGGTCGATTTGAACCATGTGCCCTCAGGATTACAATGCAGCTTCTTACCACTAGGCCACCAGAGCTCCCTGCTCCCCAGTTTATGCCAGAAAGAGATCTGTATTTGTTCCCATTCCCAAGAAAGGTGATTTTTGGCATTGTTTTTGTTGTTTGTTATGTGCCATTGAGTGGCCTGTGACTTATGTTGTTGTTGTTATGTGCCATCGAGTCGTTTCCGACTCATAGCGACCCTATGCACAACAGCTCTAAACCCTGCCCTATCCTGTGCCAACCGCACGGCCTCCGACACACCCATCCCGATTACCCCAGTCACCGAATCAATCCATCTCATAAAGGGTCTTCCCCTCCTGCGCTGTCCCTCCACCCTCCCAAGCATGATGTCCCTCTCCAAGGACCCGTCCCTCCTGGCAACATGTCCAAAGTATGTCAGACGAAGCCCCAGAATCCTTGCCTCCAAGGAGCAGCTTGGTTTAATCCTCTCCAAGATGAATCTGTTTGTTTTCCTGGCAGTCCAGGGTACATTCAGGACCCTTCTCCAGCACCACAACTCAAAAGCATCCACTCTCCTTCTGTCCTCCCTAGTCATTGTCCAACTCTCTGATGCATAACAAGCGATTGCAAAGACCATGACCTGTATCAGGCGCACCTTAGTCTCCAGAGAGACACTGTTGCTCCTGAGTACGTTTGAGAGGTCCCTAACGCCAGACTTTCCCATCGCGATACGCTTTTTGATTTCCTGACTGCTGGTACCAAGAGTGTTAACTGTGGAGCCGAGCAAAGTGAAGCTGTGAACACTCTCAATCTCTTCATCATCCATCCTGACGCTGCTATAGCGAGCATAAATACAACAGCCCTAAACCTTGCTCTATCTGGTGCCAATCTTATTATCACTGACACATCTACCCCCGTTACCCCAATCACTGAACCAATCCATCTCAACGAGGGCCTTCATCTCTTGCACTGTCTCTCCACCCTCTCAAGCATGACATCCCTCTCCAAGGACTCTTTGCAATATGTCCAAAATATGTCAGACGAAGCTTCAGAATCCTTGCCTCCAAGGAGCAAGAGATCTATGACTGTAAAAGTTTGTTTATAATTATCCTCAGATACATGACTTATTGAAATGACCGATGATACTATACTATCTTGAGATTAAAAAGAAAATGAGTTTTAATTATTAATAAATAATCAGTATTTTCTTTAGGGAGCTCTGGAGACCTAGTGGGTAGCGAGTTGTGGTGCTAATCCACTGCGATTGGTTCGAATCCAACAGCTGTTCCTTAGGTGAAAGATGGGCAGTCTTCTCTTATGTGATTTACAGCCTCTGAAAACCCAATGGAGGGTCAGGTAAAAGTCAGTTCCAACACAATGACAATGAGGGGTTTTTTACCACTTTCTTCTTGAATATACTGAATGCATTCATAGCTTGCTTTGTTTGGCATGATCACCTGTATGTATATCACAATGTAACTTTTAAAAAGAATCAGAAATAAAAGGATTTACAAAGTGGACTTAAAACGATTAAAAAAGATGGTACTAAAAAGAGAGAGAAAAAGCCCATGCAACCGGCAGTACCATTCCTCTGCTCCTTTAACTGAGCTGATCCAGTCATCGTGGAGTAGGCATTGCTCCGGCTGAGGTGCAGTGTACTTCTCCACGTACTCTATTTCCACAACTTCTTCCTAGTCAGAGAGAGGACAGAGGCAATCAGATAGTAGTTTTTAAATAGTACATTATGAAGATGAAGGATTTGCACTGTATTTCCTTCATATCAATGCTCTTTAAAAACTCTGAAACTTAGGAATCATACAGAATGTTAAAATGTGATTGATATCAGGGTTGGGGTAAGACTGAGAAAAACTGGATAAAGTGTGTATACTGCACTGAAACAGATGAGGGAGTGAATAATTTAAAAGCGATGTATGATAGGGTATTATGGTTATCACAAGAGTCCACAAATAAGGATGCATAGTGGAATGTACTTGGGGCGGTGGGAGGGGTGCAGGGGGATTGTGTACCAGGGAAGAAGTGTTTCTTTTACTTTTGGAAGAGAGGAGCGAACTGGGGGGTTGGGGGAGGGCTGGGCGGGGAGAGAAGTGCAGCAATGAATGAATGGAAATCCAAAATCTCTGTAAATGCTCATTAAAATTATTTTTAAAAAAAGAAGATTAAAAAAACCCAACAAAACACCTTACTTAACCTACCAGTACGCTGAGAGTAATATTTAGGAATATTAATAACCTTGGAAAATGTGTACTAAATCAAGCTATAGGATAGAGGAAAATAAAAAATTTCAATGATAACATTTTCCAAGTAATTTTGGTATATTTTAAATGAAAAATAGTATATAAAGTGAAAATTAGGGGAAGGGAAATCATCTGCAAATCACACCAACTTAACTAATATATAAGTCTTTCTGTATGTGCACAATCAGTTTGCCCATCTGCAATTAGTACAAACACAATTCATTGAATGAACATCTCTTTACAGATACTGTGTTTGTTACAAAGAAAAGATTTGTGGCAACTGTGTATTAAGCAAAGCTACTGAGACAAATTTTCCAATAATTTGTTCAATTTATATCTGTGTCACACTGTGGTTAATTGTCATAATATTTCAAACTTTTTAATCATGCTGTTGCACAATTAGTAGTTTACAGCATTGTGTAAACATAACTTTAACATGCACTGGGAAACCAGTAATTTCCTGTGACTTGCTTTATTGCAATATTCAGTTCATTGCAGCAGTACAGAGACAAAACTGCAATATGTGAGGTTTGCTATATTTACTCCCCCTTTCTTGTTCATTCTTCCACAGATATAGAAGGTATCTTTTCATCTTTGTTTTTGTACAATCTCAGAATAGCAAGGATTTAAAAATTAATTATATAGAAATTAAGGTTCAAACTTCTAAGGGAAAAATAATCAAAAGAATTTTGCGTGTTGAAGATAAATTCAGGCGAGTTCTAAATGTTTATTTGACAATGTCTTAGTAAAATACTGAAGATAAATATCTGTACTTACTGATGAGATGTTTTCTAGTTCCATGTGTTTGACCAGGGGCATTCGTAGAAATTGGCCCTTGACAAGAAAATCAAACTCCACATGTTTGTGGAACTCTGAAGAAAACAATAAAATATTATCATTCTTTTTTGTGTTTTGTGATTTGACTGAAGGTTTATAAAGCAGTTCTGCATTCAACCATTCATTCACATTTTGTTCAGTAACATTGATTTTCAATACCTACAATATAATTGCACTTTCCCCACTTTCCCCTCACCCATAATTCTGATTTCCATTAATCCTTCTGTACCTCTCCTGTCTTTTTTCTCTAGTGATATGCTGATTATCCCATTATGTAATATTGCCTTTACTTCAATATTCATTAGTTTGCTCCTATTAGATATATTTGCAGTTCTAGGGGCTTAGTCAATAAAGAATTATGCAGTTAACCTAAAGGCAGGATCTCTTTGGCAGTTTGAACCCACAAGTAGCTCTGAGGAAGAAAGTAGGCAATCTCCTCCTGTGCGTCTTGCAGCCTCAGAAATCCACTGGAAGGTCAGCTATGAATCAATTTTGACTTGAAGCAATGAGAGAGGATAAACTATTTATGAACTTTCACTCTCCTCTTCTCTGATGCTATTCCAACAAGGATTCTAGCTGTGCGTTAAAACCTTTTTTTATAACAGTGGTCATAAGTTATATTTGTCCTTTTGTGATTTACTTATTTCATTTAGCATAAATAACATCCTCTAATTATAAAGTGGCAATTATTATGAGGACCTGGCTGAAGTAATGTTCGTGTAAGTATTTAAAAACCCCTACCTATTACTATGTAGATAAAATACTTCTAATATATAATAATATAATTATTAGCATTAAAATAATATTGTTATCACTTATTTATCTTGTAAACTGGTGGTTGGGCCTAGAGAGTTATCTCTATTTCAGGTTTGGGTTTTTGTAGGAAGACTGTTTCCCTGGCAGTATTGTGTATTTTCCATTGTCAGTAAGGACAAGATCTCTATTCATGTTAAAATTAACCTGCATGCTTAGATGATTTTAGTCTATCTAATGTACCCTATTAGTGTTTTACCTAAGAGTATTAGCTTCAATGGTAATCTCTACATATGTCTACTATTTACTTCATTTGGAGATGAAAAGTGGTCAACAGTCTAATTATATCATTCTTTATACATTTATTAGCTGTAATCCTTCTAAAACAAGAATGTTTCTCCAATATTTTGTTTAAAAATTTGTGAACATTAACATATTAAGCTCAAGGCAACAACTGAATTACCCCATTTATACAAAAACGACAAGTTGATATTCAGTTTAAATATAGAAAAATCTGCAGCTCTTTGAATAATAATAAATAACTAGATGCCAATGTTATAACACTTTATTGAAAGAATAACTCTTATTCTAGTTCAAAGACTTAAAAATGTGTAACTGTGCATGAACAAAAGAATGCTGTCTGAACACAAAGTAAAAAAACATTGCCATGGAGTTGGAACCAATTCATAGCTGACCCTCCCAGCCAATTTTCAGAAGCTGCAAATGGCATGGGGGGAGACTGCCTATCTTTCTCCCATGGAACTGCTGGTTTTTTCAAACCACTTGACTTTGGGATAGCAGTGCAACTCCTTACAGACACCACTCCCTTCTGAATACAGGTAGTCCCCAAATTACAACCAGGTTCTCTTCTGACAACTCTGTATAAGTTGGTACTGATGTAAAAGTTGAACCACTTTCTTTTTCCAGAGTTTGTTCAACAGTGTTTTTAATATTAAAATCCTAACAACGAACATTTCCAAGTTAACATTTGAGGATAACATCAGCAAATTACACATAACATTGTCTATACAAATATAGTTCTCAGTGCCATTTGTTGCAATAAAAGATATTGTAAATCAGGGCCTACCATTATCACTGAATCAAAAAGTACAACTTTCATTCATTCAATCCAAATCTCTGTAAATGTTCATTAAAATAAAATTTAAAAAAAGTACAACTTATTAGCAATAAAAACCAAATTGTTGAAAGAGCTTTTCAGCATCTGCAAATATATGCATAAAAATATGCTGCTTCTATATGGTGACGTCACTGGCACACTTTTTTAAGCAATCCTGTCATTTCATTTTCATTTTTTCACCTCACATAATTTAAGCATGACACTAGGAGAGGCTACTCCTTGGAGAGCGACTTGATGCTGAGAAGGGTGGAGGGTCAGTGAAGGAGAGGAAGACCCTCAACCATGTGAACTGACACAGTGACTGCCACAATGGGCTCCTGTGTGTTGGAAGTGTGAGGATGACACAAGACAGAACAGTGTTTAGATCTTTTGTTCACAGGGTTGCTATGAGTCATACTTGACTCGATGGCACCTAACAACAGTAGCAACAACTCTTACTTTATGTTTCATGGTTTTTTAAAAGATTACAAAAATTTCAAACATGTAAAAATGGAGGATTATGTCATAAAATCCCTTAGCCTTATCAATAGCTTCAACAGTTACCATCTCATGGCCAATCCTGTTCTACCTATAACTATGTATATATATATATATATATATATATAAAATTCATAATAATTTTATGTACTAATAATTCATGTAGTGGCAAGGGTTTACTGTTCAAAGTGACTTTTCTAGCCACTGATTTTTTAACTTTATTTTTCTTATTGTGTACCATCAAATTGGACTCGAATGGCACAGGAGATTGCCCCTCCTTCTCCAGCGGAGCATCTGGTGGATTCAAAGTGCGTGCCTTCAGGATTGCAGCACAGCTTCTTGCCACTAGGCTACCAGAAGTCCCTCCTAGCCACTGATTTTTTACTTTGCCAAATGAATGGGCGAAATCATACAAATACTAACCAAAATGGGACTGTCTAGTCTCACCATTCAACTAGGTTTAAACAGAGCAGTTTCATCAGCAGCTATGGGAATCTCAACACAAAAAGAAAGGGGAAGCAGAGTGTGTCCTGGGCCAGAGATTCCTGAACTAACCAGACCAGGACCTACCAAGAGCAACAAGAGCCTCAGCAGAGAACCAGAGGCCAACATGAGACAAAGATGATGTGGGACTGCCGCCCCATGAAGCCAGAGACAGAGCTTGCTGAAGGATTGCAGGAAGAGGCCATAACTTACCAAATTAAGGGAACTTTGTAACACTGACCTAAGCTGGGAGGCTGAAGATCAAGGGTCTACAATGCTTGAGAAGCTATGAAAGGCTAGGAAAGTCACTTTGAACAGTAAACCCTTGCCACTACATGAATTATTAGTACATAAAACTATTATGAATTTTATATATACATAGTTATAGGTAGAACAGGATTGGCCATGAGATGGTAACTATTGAAGCTATTGATAAGGCTAAGGGATTTTATGGCATAAAATAGCTTCTCAAGGGGCTACAATGCTTGAGAAGCTATCTGGATCCAGGGATTCTGCTACCAACCTGAACTATAGCCTGTAAACTATACTAATAAACCCCATAATTGTGAGTATGGTTCTATAAAGTATTTTAGTTACTGGAACAGATTTGGGACTCAGTAGAATAGTAAGGTTGGTTTTAGAAGAAGTAGGTGGAGGAGAGTGGGAGAAAATGTCTAACCTTAAGAGAACTGATTTCTTATTGTGGAAGGGGTTAAGTCTCCTTTGTGGAGTTAGCAGAAATCAGACTTGGCTGTCCTCATGCTGCCTACACTCTTTTTTCCAAATTATATTAGTATAATAGCATACTTTAAAATACTTTATACTTATAAAATGATTTCTTTTATATTTTTGCTTACGAATTTTTTATTACTTAGACATTTTTGCATGTGAATCTGAAAAACAAAAAATTAAGTACCTTTAGCTTAGTAAAGTAGAAAGTCAGAGAGAGACCCTCAAAACAGACACAGAAGCTGCAACAATGAGCTTAAGTGCAGCAACTATAAAGATGGTGCCAAATTAGGCAGTGTTTCTCATTTGTTTGTATAGAACATCACTGTGAATTGGAGCTAACTCAGTGGGACCTTGGTTACATAGTGGTTAAAGAATTTGGCTGCTTACTAAAAGGTCAAGGGTTTGGATCCACTAGCTGCTCTGTGGATTCTAGAAAGATGAGTCGATCTGTTTCTAGAAAGATACACAACCTTAGAAACTGTATGGGCTGATTCTCCTCTCTTCTGTAGGGTTGCTATTCTATAGTCACACTGGAATGGATTTGTTGGCAGTGAGCTTGGTTTTGTGATATCAAATCCTGGCATTTCAGTATTATATAAATAAGAATATTATAATTTTACTTTGTTCTGTCATCACTAGCAGGTGGGGCCTACGCACCTGTCTTATGCCTATAGCAGCTCAACTCTGCCTGGCACAATTGCAATGCTTTGATTCTCTTTCTGCCTTAATTATTAACATCTCTGTCCCTAGATCAAACCCACCAAATATACATACTGCCTTAAGTGCATACTAAACAGAAAACTTTTGAACATGTTACTTTCAAAACATAAGTATCTCTCAGCAAAGAAACACATTATAATTTAAAACTTGGTGGTTTGTTTTTTTTTTTAATTTTTATCATATTATTTTTACGTGTACTGTCAAATCAGATCTGACTGGTACAGGAGGAGATTTTTCCCTCCTCCTCCAGCAGAGCATCTGGTGGATTTGAACCGCGTACCTCTGGGACTGCAGTGCAGCGTCTTGCCACTAGGCCACCAGAGCTCCCTTGTAATTTAAAACTTTTACAGCTACAAAATGTTTAGTTACAGAATTATAAAATGAAGCAAAAAGAAAAAAGGCATAAAATAAAAATATAATGTAGTCAGTGTAGTTTGTAGCATTTGATTTTCCCCCTAACTTCTCAAGAATATATATTTATATATACCCACCATTTTTGGCCTCCAGCAATTTATTGATGATATTACTAAGATCAGCAATTTCAGAGGCTGCAGGGATTGAGAAAGGAACATCATCTACCGAATATCTGTAAAAAGGAAAAGATGTGTCATTATCAGCTCTACAAATATATTTATACATGTTCATTTATTTAACAAATATTAAATCTCTACTACATGTCAGACATTTTTACATATGGGACAAACAAAACTTAATTAGGCCATGACTGATGTCCTCAGAAAGAGTGAGTTTGATCAAATACAATAAATGTTACATATGGAACAGGAGCACATGCTTGCATACACATAAAGCTATAGGTCATTTTACCAGAGAAAATAAATGTGAGTAAGTTGGGTTTAAAAAGGTGCACAACACAGTATCAAGAAATGGAAACAGCCCAAATTTCCATCAACAAAAGACTAGATTTCACATTATGAAGTACTATTCAGCACTCATGAGCAATGATCTGAAAAAACACTATATAACATAGGAGAGGCTAGTGAGCATTATGCTGAGTGAACTCAGGTGCGTAAGAACAAATACTGTATAAGTCTATTATAAAACCAGAAAGATAACCAGTGAGATGTGTATGCATATACAAAGAGGGAAGGGGAAGGGGAAGGGGCGTAAGACGGGGGAGAGAAAATCATTAGGTTGAAAACTTTGGTTCTTAGAGTGAGGAAAGAGAAAATATAAAGCAATGTGCGTGCATGAATGAAACACAATAAAAGAATTTTTTTTAAAAGGTACAGAAACAAGTTAACTCAAACAACATCTAGAAAAGTGAGTTTTTGCCAACTGGGAGTAAGATTAAAATCAATCTGGAAGAACAATAAAGCAATAGCTAGGGACTTTTAAATGTCCATCAAAATGATACCAGAAAGTAGGCTTTTGCTCTAGACAGTGACCAGAGATGAAGCTAAAGAGATCAGAATGGGGAATCTTGTATGTATTGCTTGAAATAGTTTTTACTTCCTTCCTTTGGCAATCTGAAAGCCTAACAGACCAATTTAAGGAATATTATTGAATTAAAGCTTTCTAATAGCACTGTGAAGAATGACTTAGAGGCTAAAGAAAAAAAGCAGATAGCAGATTAGGAGATTCTTGTAAGAGAGAATGAAAGAAAATATATGCAAAGTTTTAGGTTTGGTGTGTGTTTGTTTGTGGCTTTTTTTTTTTAGATTTGTATCAAACTACAGACAGAATATTTGCTATTTGCTGTTATTGTTATGTACTGATGATGACTTAGAACCGACGGATAGCTGATCATACAGCAGGGGTTTCAGAAACAGTAAATCACAGGAGAGAAGACTGCCCATCTTTCTCTTGTACAACAGCTGGTGAATTTGAACTGGATGCCTTTGAATTCTCTAAAGAATATTTACAACTCACTAAATTAGTTCCACCCAATGGTACATACAACAATAAAAATTTTCTCTATATAGGTTCATATCTACAAATAGGGATAATTGTACTTCTTTTCCAATCTAGATACATTTCATTTACTTTCCTTATCTTACTGAATAGATGAGGCAAACTCTGTTAAAGGATATGAACAGATCAAAAATTATAGAAACACTTCTAAAAATTATGTAAGAGATCAATAAGCACATCAAAATATTATCATTAGTCATGCGGAAAATGCAAATCAAAATATCTTCAAACCCACTATTGTTGTTTTTTACCATCAAGTTGCCTGTGACTCACAGTGACCCTACTCTATCCTGTGCCAGGTTTACTGTCTCTGACACACCTACCCCTATTACCCCAGTCACTGAATCAATCCATCTCATCGAGGGTCTTCCTCTCTTGCACTGTCCCTCCATACTTTCAAGCATGATGTCCCTCTCCAAGGACTGGTCCTGCCTCACAACATGTCCAAAATACAACTGTTTATAGGTATACTTCACCACAATAAAATGGTATTTAAAAATACATTAGTTCTAGTACTGCCTCACCACATTCCTTGAGTTAGACTAAGAACATAAATAAGAAAGTAGAAGACATTTTAATTATTTACAAACATTAGATACTAAAAGACTTCAAATCTGAGAAAGCATCTAGATTAACAGTGAAAAAGAATGAAAGTAATTTGCATTAAATAAAAAATAAAAGGTAAGATTTACTTAAAAGAGATCATTTTGAATAAGGCGAACAGCATTCAGCAAAAATGTTTCACTAAAAGTAAATATGTAAGTTTATATTTGAATTGACATCACACCCTTAATAGAGAGTCTGTATTTGAATTGATATCACACACTCTGGTAAAAAACCATTTTTAATCCAGCCCTTATGCAGAGCCCCACATTCTAGCCCAATTTAGGAAAGCATCACCTATCACCTCTTTGAAAAGAAAATGACACTTATGAAAGGCCAATGGCCACCAAATGGACAAAGATTGAAAGCTTTTCCCTTGAAATCAGGAATCAAACAAGAGTGCCTGCTCTCTCCACTTCTCTTCAGTATTGTACTAGAAGTCCTATCCAGAGCAGTAAGGAAAAGAAATGAAATGTATCTAGATTGGAAAAGAAGTACAATTATCTCTATTTGTAGATATGAACCTATATAGAGAAAATCCTAGACTCCAAAAGAAAACCTCTATTACTAATAAAAGAATTTAACAAAGCTGCAGAATACAGAGTCAAATAGAAATATCTGTGTTTCTAGAAACTGAAAATGAAAAATCTGAAAGAGATCAATTAGAGAATTCCATAGCATCTAAGAGAATAAAATACTTAGGAATGAGGAGAAATAATGAAAGAGATTGAAGACAACAAAACTGGTCACAGACTGCAAAATTTAGTTAACATGAAAATGTCAAAATGATAAAAAATGATCTACAGTTTCAATACGAATTCCTGATCAAAATTCCAACAGCCTTCTTTATAAAAACAGGAAAAGAATTCTTTATAAGAATAAGAAAAGAATGAGTTCTTAACTTTGTTTAACCCACTGCCCTCAAGTCAATTCTGACTAGTGTCAACCCTCCATCAGGTTTACATGTCTGTAAGACTTAGCAGAAGACTGCTCATCTTTCTTCCACAGAGTGGCTGGTAGGTTCAAACCGCCATCTGTTTAGTTTGGAAACCAACACTTAAGTCGCTAAGCCACCATGGCTCTTTCAACCTTATATGGAAGTACAAAAGGTCTTAAATAGCTAAAACAGTATTGTAAGAGGAGAACAAATTCAGAGGACTCACATTTCTGATTTTAAAAAATATTCTACAGCTACTGTAGCTCTAGTGGCGCAGTTCACATGGAGTTTGACTCAACAGCAGCTTTGTGGAAAAAAGATGGGCGATCTGCTCCTAAGCAACTTAATGCCTCTAACAATCTCATGGAGTATCAGCTATGAGTCAGTTCTATGAGTCAGAGCAATGAGTTTGGGTTCTGTTTTTTCAATATAGCTATATAATCAAAACAGCTTCTTTATGGTGTAACAATATATACATACCCACATGGAATAGAACTAAGAATTCAGAAATAACCCACATATCTGTAGTCAACTGAACTTTCATAAAGGTACCAAGTTTATGCATGAACAGAAAAGAGTCTAATAGCCAGTGGTGGAAAAATTAGATTTCCATATGCAGAAAAATGAAACAGGATCTCACACACACAAAAAAAAACCACCCAACCAAAACCACAACCAAATGCAAATCTCTTTTTCACTGCCTTAGAGTAGAAAGAGACACACTCATACTTGACCCTCCACCAGGTTTTTATTGTGTGCTGAGTCAGATCCAATTCACAGATGATTGTCCAGTAGGATTTTTTTTTTCAATTTTTTTAATTATTTTTGTGTGTGTACTGTCAAACCAGATCTGACTGGTACAGGAGTACATTGTCCCTCCTTCTCCAGCAGAGCATCTGGTGGATTCTAACTGCTCACCTCTGGAATTGCAGTGTAGCTTCTTAACCACTAGGCCACCAGAATTAGCCAGGTTTTAAAGGCTAAAAATCGTATGGGCCTATATATCTCTCTCAGAGCAGCTGGTGGATTTGAACCACCCATCTTTGGGTTGGCAGCACAATTCTCTATTCATTTTGTTGTTGTTACATACGGACAAATTGGAACTGACACTGAGCTGACCCTCCAGTGGGTTTTCTGAAGCAGTAAACCACAAAGAAGGAAACCTCATCTTTCTCCTGCGAAGCAGTTGGTGGATTGAAACTGTGTGCCTTTGGGTTGGTAGCACAACTCCTTACTACTAAGCAAGCAGAGCTCCCTATCCACTAGGCCAATTCATAAAATTCATGGAACAAAAAAAGCAGAGTCAGTGGAGGCAGGCTTAGCTTTCATGAATCGATTATCTAATAACATTAAAAGCAAAATATAAAATACATTAATAAGGTCTTGTAAAAATTTAAAACATTAAAATATCAAAAGACTGTAAAAAATGAAGAGTGGCTACTAATTGAAGGAATATCTTCAGAAATCATCTGACAGGAATCTAATAACCAAAATAGATGTGAAACTTCCTCAACAATCTGCATTATGCAGATGACACAACCCTGCTTGCTGAAACTGAGGAGGACCTGAAGCGCTTGCTGCAGAAGGTCAAGGACTACAGCCCTCACTATGGATTGAAACTCAGTATTAGAAAAAACACAGATTCTCACCACTGGGCCAACTGGCAGCATCAAGATAGATGGTGAAGAGATTAAGATTTTTAACAGCTTTAATTGGCTTGGCTCCACAATCAACACATCTGATACCAGCAGCCAGGACACTAAAAGACAAGTTACATTGGAAAACTCTGCTGTCAGAGACCTCTCTAAAAATGCCTTTGAGCTGGGTGCTCGAGAAGAGTGTTGAATATACCATGGACTGCTAGGAGAACAAACAAGTTCATCTTGGAGAGGGTTAAGCCAGGCTGCTCCTTGGAGTCAAGGATTCTGAAGCTTCGTCTGACAGACTTTGGACATGCTGCAAGGTGGGATCAGTCCTGAGAGGGATGTCATACTTGGGAGGGTGGAGGGACAGCGCAAGAGAGGAAGACCCTTGATGAGATGGATTGATTCAGTTGGAGACAGTAAGACTAGCACAGGATAGAGCAGGGTTTAGGGCTGTTGTACACACTGTCACTATGATTTGCAGGTGACTCAACCACACATAACAGTAACAATGTGAAACTTGGACAATGTAACAAGGAAAATACAATTCAATCATAAAATAAGCAAGAATTTCACCAAAAGGGAATTCATTTATATGGTCACCAAACACACAAAAAGTTCAACCACCAGAGATGCCACTTAAAATCACAGTAGGACACCATTATACTACCACTAGGATGACTTAGTCCGGCCTGGCAGTACTCAATAGCAGCAGGATGGCTAAAACTTAAAAACAAAAATAGAACTATCATATGAACAAGCAATTCCTCTCCTATGAATATACTGAAATGACTGGAAAGCAGATCTTCCAAAAGAGACATGAACATCAATGTTAATGAAACATTAGTCCTAAGTTCCCAAGAGCTAAAAGGTTAAAACTAAATGTCCATCAACAACACATGAACAAACAAATACAATGTGATACATAGATATATATAATGGAATGCTGCTCAGACAATAGGAGAAATGAAGTTTTGACACATGCTATATAGAATGTACAAAGTTAGCACAAATGCTGAGTGAAAAAAGTTAATCATAAAAGGGCAGATTTTTTTAAAAAGGGGCAGATATTATATAACCCCATTCATATAAAAATATAAAGGGAGAAGTTGAGTTTAGTAGTGTTAAAACAACTATGAGATATCTCACCCCAACAGCAATAGCAAAGCTCAACAGAGAAGCAAACAACAAATGCTGCTGAGGTTGTTGGAGAGACTGGAACTCTTACTCACTGCTGGTGGGAATGTAAAATGTACAGCCGCTACGGAAAGTGGTCTGGCACTTCCTCAAAAAGTTGGAACTAGAAATACCATTTGACCCAGCAATTCCACTACTGGGAATATACCCTCAAGAAATCAGGGCCACTACTCAAAAAGATGTATGCACACCCAACAAACTAATGGACAGAAAAATATGATATATGCACACAATGGGACATTACATAACAAGAAAAACCTGGAGGACATTATGCTGAGAAATATGTATCAGTCACAAAAGGACAAATACTGCATAGCACTACTGTCATAAAACAGGACATACAAAGTGGGTACTGGGGAGAGAATAGGAAAAGAATGCACATTAATGAACACTGCATTAGAACAGATGAGGGGTAGAACTGTCCAAAAGGAATATATGATTAGGCATTATATGTTTGACAATAATCTGGTAGAAGGGGTGCATTGAGGGTGGGGTAGGAGGCAGGCAGGGGGAGAAAAATGTGTAACAATTAATAAAAAAATTAGTAATTGGAAATTGCATTAATTGAGGGTAAGTGGCATACACAATTATAATTGCTGTCACTAAGTTCCACATTGTATACTTATAAAAAATTGGATTGGCTAAAGTAGTATGAATTTACGCATTATGCAGATGACATAAACCTGCTTGCTGAAACTGAGGAGGACCTGAAGCACTTACTGCAGATGGTCAAGGATGCAGCCTTCAATATGGACCGAGGCTCAACATCAAGGAAACAAAATTCTTATCACTGTCCCAGAGGTGCACGGTTCGAATCCACCAGATGCTCTGCCGGGGAAGGAGGGGCAATCTCCTCCTGTACCAGTCAGATCTGATTTGACGGTACACGCACACAAAAATAAAAAAAAAATTCTTATCACTGAGCCAATTGATAGCATTAGGATGAATGGTGAAGAGATTGAGATTGTTAACAGCTTTAGTTTGCTTGGCTCCACAGTGAACATTCTTGGCGCCAGCAGCCAGGAAATTAAAAAATGCATTGTGATGGGAATGTCTGCTCTTAGGGACCTTTCCAAAATACTGAAGAACAATGATGTCACTCTGGAGACTAAGGTGTGCCTCATACAGGCCATGGTCTTTGTAATCACTTGCTATATGTCAGAGAGCTAGACAATGACTTAGGGAAGATAGAAGGAGAACTGAAGGCTTTGAGCTGTGGTGTTGGAGAAGAGTATTGAGTGTACCACGGACTATTAAGAAAACGAACAGGTTCATCCTAGAGGGGGTTAAACCAGGCAAGGATTCTGAAGGATTCTTAAGCTTCATCTGACATACTTTGGACATGTTGCAAGGAGAGACCAGTCCATGAAGAAAGACGGCATGCTTGGGAGGGTGGAGAGACAGCACAGGAGAGGAAGACCCTCGATGACATGGATCGATTCAGTGACTGGGGAAACTGGGGTGGGTGTGTCAAAGACCGTGAGGTTGGCACAGGATAGAGCAGGGTTCAGGGCAGTTGTACTCAGCGTCACTATGAGTCGCAGGTGACTCGACTGCACGTAACAATAAACTGTATGATCAATATATAAATAACAATAGCAAAAAAGAAAAGGGATAACTGAACAATGTCACTGGATATAGTTTCATGGTCCAGGGGACTTTCCAGTTCACTAGTCTACTAATGTCTTAGTGCTTCTGTTCTACCTTCTTGTTTCCTGTGTTGAGCCCGCACCCCTACAAGCTCGCAAGTGGCCGCCTAAGGCTCAACTGGTCTGTATTCACTCGGAGCATCAAAGAAAAACGGAGAATCTGGTCTCCTTAAACCACTGCTCTTAGTATGACACCAGAAGAAAATGGATGGTGTCCAGCTATCATTACTGCACATTTTGATCTAAGATTCCATTGAAGGAGAGTAATCAAAAAGGGGAAAATGTTGAACACAATTTGAAATTCTCGTGGATTCGAGTCTTTTTGAAGCCATGGAGGGTGGATGAACGCCTGAAACCATTACCCTGGGATATTTAAATCTTAACCAAATAATACATCCTGAAGTAATCTTAAAGTAGAACAATCGCTTAGTTTTAAAAGGTCAATTTGAACGTTATGTTCTTTCAAGAACTATTTATGTGGACAAGAGCAGCTCAAAACACTAGAAAAGAGCCAGAGGGGACAATGAGTTTATGAATTAAAGTTATGTCTTCCCCTCCCCCAACTATAATAACTATTCAATTTCACAACAAAATCAGTTTCAGGGAAGGAGAGCTTTCAACTGATTTTGTTGTGAAATTGAACAGTTATTTCAGTTGAGGGAGGGCAAGGCATAACTTTAATTCATAAACTCAAGGTCTCCTTCCTGACACTGTGGCATACATCTTTTTTTAAACTTTAAAACAACTGTTTACAGTTAAATCATATATATATTCGCTCAAGAAGAGTTTACGACCTCTCCCCATTCACAATTCAAATTATAAAGGGCGTGCGAAGGAGAGCCGAGATGCTGGAAGCCAGTCGGCCAATCCTCGAGATTGAGATCTTCCGAAGGAAGCGGTTCCGACAAAGCAAGAAGCGTTTAACCCCGAGTCCAACAACAAAAACGGCGGGAGGGACGTGAAATGACAGCAAAAACAACGAAAGATCCACTAGACCATGGCGAAGCAGTCCTTCCGAAGTATCCTAGGGAGAGGAGAGAAAGGGATGCTTACTTACTTTTTATTGTCAGTGTAGAAGCGTGTCTGGAGCTGAGCCATCGTGGAATGTAAGGCGTACACTCTAGATTTACCCACAGAAATGTATCGACTAATAGAGAATGAGCGATCTGCTCCCCTGATAAACAAAAAAAGCACACGGCAGCGAGACGCTCCAGCCGAAAACCGAACTGCGCTTTCTTCCCTGCGGCCTCCACCAAATGCGGCACCACGCGGCCACCCTTTCCAGCCCAGATTTATCAATTGCCTATTTCTCGGTGACGTAAGAATCATGGATTAGTCAAGCCTGTTCTTAAAGGTAACGTGCCCCTTTTAGCGCGTGCATTTCTTTCAACATAGGCCAATGATCATTAAGAATATAAAAAAAGTCCCCACTCTAATTCAACAAGTGAGCCCCACCCCTCCAAGGGATTTTTTTTTTAAATTTTTAAGAAGTTTGTCTTAGACATGATATTTCAGAGTCCCGGTACTACAACTCCCAGAAAGCAGCGCGTCTCTGGCGCTATGATCATTGGGAATTGTAGTCCTACTCGACGCCCAAGGGATGGTTTGTATAAATCCCTGACTCCCAGCCGGCAATGAAATTATCTCTGCCTTTCTTTGCGATTGAGTAAAACTTTGCGGGGTTGCCGTTCTCATTTATACTCCCAACAAATATCCTGAGGTTTTCACTAGGTGTTCCCCTCCAGTCTGGGTTTTAAAGCCTGGCGAGGAGAGGGAAGACGGAAAGAAAAAAAACCAACTATCAGAACGGAAACAGACGATGCGGACCGCTTGGGGTCCGATCTCTTGAGGCTGCGTTGCGCGTTCCTGTAGGGCTGCGCCTGCGCATTGTGCCGGTCGGTCTCCATGGCGGGGCCTCGGAGCCAAGACGAGGTTGAGTAGACTCGTTTTGAATTTTCTCCCCTCTGCTCAGGCACTTTGTGGACTTCCCTCTTCGCCCTATAGGGCCCTCAGTGGCGGTGGGGCAGAGAGAATAGGAAGGTTGGCAGAGCTGTAGGCGCCCCGGACCGAACGCTACTACCTCCCAACCCCCTTTCTTTCCTCCTGCTGCTTCTCGTCACCCCCAGACCTGCCGATGACTCGAGCACCCGTTGCCCCCACCCCCGCTCCAGCTGGGCGCTCGAGTCTCCTCTGTGCCCAGCTTTGGGGCCTTTTTCGAGGCCAGACATGGCGAGGGCGCCTACTGCCCTGGGCCAAGACGTGGCTCGAGGACCCTGGGAGACAGGCTGGAGAAGCAGGATATTAGGTGCCTTGAGAAAATTGCTAGCGTGCTGCCGACAAGAGGAAGGAACGATACTCCTCCGGCACCGGAGCGCAAAGATGGGCCATCTCGCTGCCTTGTACCCGACTTTTACGGTGGCTTGGGTTCCCCCCCACCACCCCCTGGGTTTCCTGAGCTCCTTTATATCAAGTATAGGAACTCTTGTGGCGTAATTCCTTATGTGCGGCTCTCTTAACCTGAAGGTCAGCAGTTCGAATCCATCACCTGATAAACAAGAAGCAGATGGGCAGTTGTCCTCAGAAATTCGATAGGAGTCAGAAATCTATTCTACTGGGCAGGAAAGTTTTTATGTCGAATAAGATGTTCGACCACTAACCAAAAGGCTAGTAGTTTGAACCTGCAGGAGAAAAGATGTGACTGTCCCGGTCTATAAAGATTTACAGCATTGCAAACTGTAAGGTCGTTTTCTCTCCTGCAGGATCTGGATGGATTGCACATCATTGGTTTATGTTGTACTCTTTGAAGACAGAAGGGTCCGCTCTTACAGCTCCCCATGATTTTCCACTTGTTCTCTCTACTCCTAAGAATTACTGTTACTACTTTTCTGAAGTAGAGAGATACTGTCTCATCCCAAAGTTACTTTTTAAGACCTTTGCCCCAAAACCTCCCAGGATATTTAAAAAGACACTAACTTAGAATCTAGAAGAAATAGAATTTCAAAATTTCTGGACAGAGAGCTATTTGTATGGGGGAAGGCAATGAAACCTTTGCTTTTCTGCTTTGCTAAAAGTTACGTTGTTGTTGTTGTTGTGTGTACCGCCAAGTCGGAACCTACCCATGCTGACCCTTCAGCACGTTTTCAAAGGCAGTTAATTGCACGCGAGGAGATTGCCCATCTTTCTACCTTGGAAGCAGCTGGTGGATTCAAACCATATGCCTTTGGGATTACAGCACAGTTTCTGTTAAACAAATGAGCCCTGATGGAGTGGTGCTTTTTGTTGGGTGCCCTTGAGTCGCCTAGGACTCTAAAAAGCCCATCTTCACCTTCCACTGTACTGTGCTATCCTCATACTCTCATATGCTTTAAGTATCAGAAATTATATCTTCATGCTCTCTGATATACCTTAAGTAGATACCTAATATTTATATCAGTCGTAGAATATGCTAAATGATAGAAAAAATCTCTTACCAGAGAGCATCAAAATTGTCTTCAGTTTTAGAATGCAGACCCTAGAATTATAATGGTTGGAATCCTATCTTAGCCAATTATTTAACCTTTTAATGGGATTCCTGGCGACCTATCACCTAAAATATTGGGCTACTAACTAGAAAGGTGGGCCATTAAAGTCCACCAGCCATTTGAGAGAAAAAGGTGGACAGTCTTCCCAAAGATTTACAGCCTTGGAAACCCAATGGAGGGTCACTGTGAGTCTGAATCAATTAGAATACAATGGGTTTTGTTTTTATACCACACTTTGATTAATAGAATTAAATGTCACACAGATGTCAACTCAGTAAATTATTATTTCCAGCATGATGATGTGAGAAGTCCCGAGTTGTACAGTTAATATATGGCTGCTAACCAAAAGGTGAGAGGTTTGAGCTACCCAGAGGCACCTTAGAAGGAAGATGTTGTGATTTGAAAAATCAACCATTGAAAACCCTGTGGAATAGAATACTGCACTATTGTGATACTCATGGGTCACCATTAGTTGTCCACATGGTGGAAATTGGTGACTGATTTTGCCAATGGGAGCAAATTAGCTAGCTATGTGGAAAGAGGAGCAAAAGAAGGAAACTACTATGAAGAAATCAATTGTTAGAAATTTAGGTTGCCAATGTAAGATTGTAGTGGTGAGGATTTTATACATTAAATAAGCTTGAAGTACTTAATTGGGACAATGCAGGAGAGGAAGATCCGGGATAAGATGGATTGACAAAATAACAAGCAACGGTGTCTCTCTGGAGATTAAGGTGCGCCTGATACAGGCCATGGTTTTTGCAATCACTTGTTATGCATCAGAGAGTTGGACAGTGACTAGGGAGGATAGAAGGAGAATTGACGCCTTTGAGCTGTGGTGCTGGAGAAGAGTATTGAATGTACCGTGGACTGTCAAGAAAACAAACAGATTCATCCTGGAGAGGGTTAAACCAGGCTGCTCCTTGGAGGCAAGGATTCTGGCGCTTCGCCTGACATACTTTGGACATGTTGTAAGGAGAGACAGGCCTTTAGAGAGGGACATCATGTTGGGTAGTGTGGAGGGACAGCGCAGGAGGGGAAGACCCTCTATGAGGTGGATTGATTCAGTGACTGGGGTAATCGGGATAGGTGTGTCAGAGGCAATGAGATTGGCACAGGATAGAGCAAGGGTTTAGGGCGGTTGTACATAGGGTCGCTATGAGTCGCAAACGACTCCACGGCACATAACAACAACAACAATGAGGGTAGGTGTGTCTGAGACAGATTGGCCCATGATAGAGCAGGGTTCAGAGCTATTGCGCTTAGGTTCATAGAGTTGTATTGTAGTCAACTCTAGGGCACATAACAACAACTTAATTTGGTAGAAATGGGGATAGGGAGGTATTTGCCATTTTTAAACCTTGTCCTTTAATCATAAGTGGTTTTTAGTGACATAGGAAAATTGCATGAATTAAACTTCATAGAGACTGAGATACATACTGGGAAAACTAGATTATGTGTCAGATTTTTAAGAAAGTATTGTTGATGGTAAGGAGCCCTAGTGGCATTACATACTGAACTGCTAAATGCAAGTTTGCCTATGTTGAATTCACAGGAGAAAAATGAGGCAATTTGTCTACATAAAGATTTACAGCCTCAGAAACCCAGTGAAAGCCCTCATAGGTGGAATAATCCCTCAATAGTAATGGGTTTTACTGATAATATATAACTTACTAAAGTATTATAAAAACAATTATCATTAGAGTAACACTTTAAATTATTTACATTTTATGAAAATAGATATCTGGTACTTAGATTTTGTACAAGTTGATCTTGGTTTGAGTGGAGAAATACCCATAAAATTTATAACCTATTTAACAAGCTATAATTTGCAAAGCAGAAATGTGGAGGTCATGAAATACAGAAGATTTCTGTTTTCTTTTTTATTTGGCAGATACCCTAAGGAAAAAAAATACATGAATAAGAGTTTTAAAATAACTGAGCATTTGTTGTGTGGTGTTTTTGTTTTAATAAAAGTGACTTACGTTCTGTTTGGAGTTGCCTTCAAGCAAAAACTAAGATAATTAATGCTTTTGGTGTGTTCTTCTCAAGCAAGTCTTTTTCTAGAATAAGCTTTTAGTTCTTAATGATTTTCTACACAATTGTTTTACTGCAGTCCACTTTAAGATAACCTCAAGTACTCACCTGAATAACCTTGAATGTGTAGCTTAGAAATGTATTTCAATTTATTATACTTTTCCCCTGTATATAATGGCATAGTTTGGTACAGTATAAAAACTAAGCATGGGGTCCTAATTTGAATCTTCATTTTTCCTGGTTTGGAATGTGAGTTGTAGTAAGTATTCTGTGCTCCTAAGCAAAGTATTAGATAAGTTTGATTTTCTTATCTTAAAGTAGACTAATAATTCATATCTCAGAGTCATGGAGGACTTAATGAAATCTGTAAGACTCATAACTAAAAGGCAAAAGAGGTGTAGAAATGAATAAAAACAAATTACAGTGAAGCTTTGTTTAAAAATTTATTTTAGAATTTTATTATTTTTTGTGCGTTTACTGTCAAATCAGATCTGAGTGGTACAGGAGGAGATTACCCCTCCGTCTCCCGCAGAGCGTCTGGTGGGTTTGAACCACATACATCTGGGATTGCAGTACAGCACT